GTCGAAATCGTTTTCCCGAATCAGATGTTTCACTGATTGTCAGATACGATTTTAGTTGACCGTGGAACGCAAAGAAGAGTTTAATCTCTTGAGGGACAAATTTTACGGGAATTTTGTTTTGCTTTAATCGAATACAAACCAAAACAATCTTCATCTGTAAATTAATTTCGATATGGAAGTATGCTGTCTTGCTTTAATATTGTATATTGTTTAATTCCAAGAGGCAGAGTGATCGTAAATAATGATAAATATCGATGCAAAAGCAAATGTAAACATATGTATAATTTCTCAATATCCCTCAAGAGGTTAAGTTGCTGTTGAAAAAGGCGCAGCTTCGTAAACGTGCGAAAATTAACGAACGAAAGAGAACATGAATTTCTGTGTACAATTCTACACAATATTTCCGGATGGATCTATCGATCTGTCGTAAAGGAAACTAACAAAAAAAAACCTTTCAAATCGTAACGAAAATAATAAAACAAATGAAAAAAAAAACAGTGATCCCAATGAAAAACACCATATCGACCGAGAAAGTAATGAACAGATTGAAAAGACAATATTCATGTACGCAAGAATCGACATAAAATTACTCATAGTAGTCAGTACGGATGTATCTATATATATTATATATATAGAAAAACGGTACCTTCGAGATTTTCTTTCCCCCTTCGCGAAAAAATGAACCCAATATACGACCATAATGAGAGGGACAGAGAAAGAGGTGGTGTGAACTTCGAATACGAAAGAGATGACGAGAAGTTACCGATTTTTCAACAATAGTCTCGTAAAAAAAAAAAACTGTGTACCTCTGACCGAATATATTTCGCGAACAGTGACACGTGTTTACGCATCTCGACATTCGTGCCGTGTGCTATGCTGCGCATGATGTGCCAAGGCACGTTAGCATACGTGGAATATTCCACCTGATTTTTTCATTCTATATACTTCTATAAAAATCAATAAACAGACAATTACACAGGGCGGGGCATTTCGGACAGTTCACTTGGATAACTCGTTTATATTTAACGATGCAAACAAAGGAATGAGGTACAAGTTTGACGCGAAGCGTCAAGGACATTTCAAAGTCATTAGTATATCGTTCTGTTTGCCTTCTAATGGAAACTTGTGCGATGGATACAATGGCCTATAGTTATGGATTTCTAAGGGACAGTTGTTTAGAAAATATTAGGTCGTCCTAAAAGTTCGTGCCATTTATACTTCTATTTCTCAAATTAATATGTGAAACATACTCTTAAGTGTCACAAGAAAAGATAATCTGTCTTATTTTACAATAGCTTCTCACCTCTCTCAGATAGTCATTATACCGTTACTAGAAAATTTCTGTGGTTTTTTTATTAAATTTCGACACAGTCCTCGCCACGAATTTATGAGACGACCTAATATTTTGTTCGAAAAAGACGGATGCAACAGTTCAGAAATTAGCATTTTTATGTTTGAAATCATCGTGGTATGAAAGTCACTTGAGATTTTTGTAATGTAAAGAATTATTTGCTATTTATGTCTGATCAAATAATTATTCTGATAAACTCGCGTTCGTTTGGAGAGATTCATATTGTAATATTTATCGAACAGACAACGGATTAAAAATTGTTTACGGTATTCGAGATTTCTATCTAGATAAGAATTTTCAACTCATCTCTGACGCCAACCTAAAAAAAATATGAAAGATCGAATGAGAAATTATTCTGTTGCTTGAAACAAAATTTTTCTTTATAGCTGTCCTTTGGCGACCTTAAATGTCTTTGAAAAGATCAAGTCTCTATTAGAAGGTGAATCGAAAAACATAGTTGCATTAAAAAGAAAATTAATGGTCTCGAAGTCTTAGTGCTTCCACCTCAACCAAACCAAACAACTTCTTCTCGTCTAAAATATTTTCTATTTTTAAAAATACTCGAGTTACTCAGATGACCTATTTTAAATAGCCCTGGACCTGTATTGATTCGAAAAGATACAGTACAAAGGGAGACTTATTGCTCAAGCGATCAAATCGGATTACATACTATTCGCGTTGTACGTAATTATGATATACATTATGTTTTTATAACATCTTAACGTGTTATAAAAATAAAGTGAACTTCGATTAATTGGAACACTTGCTCAATCAGACGAATCTGCATGGAAAGTCTTAACTCTTTGGGGTTAGTGTGGGTTGAAAACTGTCTCACTTATTGCTCAACTTTATATGCATGGTGGAATATTTCTTAACCTACCTCAAAAAGTTGAAATTGCTCGTACATAGTCCAATATTCTATTAGGAATTTGTTGGTGCTGTTCTCTTGTGCAACTTGAGTTCCATTTTCCTTTTAAATCGCGTCACTCAAAGAGTTAAGTAAACATTAAATACACGCGATTAACTTTCGTACCTTATCTGAGTAAACAAGTGTTCCGGTTAATCGATAACCTAATTAGACGGAAACTACTGTATCGATATCGATTTTTCGGAACACGTGTGATTGACAAACGTTTTAAGGTCGATTCAGACTACACGGCACGGACCGTCACGTTCCGGCAACGACACGTACCGGCACCGACACGACAAAACATTAAAACACGCGTTTTAAGGTCTATTTACACATATCCGTAACGTGTCAGTTCCGTATCCGTACTGTATCATTAACGTCGCGGAGCGGTGTCGGACGTGTGTGGACATGCCCATTCAAAAACAACAGAAGAATATTTAAAATCACTGACATTGATGGAACATTACGGAACTGAACGGATACGGAACTGGCATGTTACGGATATGTGTAAATAGACCTTTAATGGAACTATTCGCACTATTCCCGTTTACGGAACGTTCAGGTCGGAGTCTGTTAAGTGTGAATAGTTCCATTAAAACGCTTGAACTTAAAACGTTTTAATGTTTTGTCGTGTCGTTGCCGGTCCGTGTCGTATAGTCTGAATCGACCTTTACAGGCGACGAAGTTAGGTGGAACGTGTTCCCGCGTGCGTATGTATGGCATGTAAACAAACGAGATTGCGGAACACAAAGGTACGATGTTTACAGCGATAGATTATTTTTCGACGTCTAGCTCAAATGTTACGTATCATTGACGAACATCTGTTTAGCCAGATTTAGGAAGTAAAAGTGGGTGTGATCGATATTCAAAACAAACGTGTCTCGCATAACAATGATGCCGGGTGCCGATGGATGCTGGAGCACATACGTATATTAAATTTCTCATATATTTTATTTTCGTTCGCGCGCGGGCAAGGACGCTGCTACGCGTGCAAGATAAAACTGTAACGATGTCGATAATAATTTGTTCATACACGATGGGGCGTTCGTTTATGATTAATCAGTTTGATGAGAAAGCATCTAAAACGATCGTGAGATAACCACGTACAGGAGAATCAATCGCAAACGTCATTCGTGTTAAAATACAGGGTGTCCCAGAAATCTTGTAACACCTTGAAAGCGGTGATTCGGGAGGTGATTTGAAACAACTTTTTCCTTAGCGAAAATGTTATCCGAGGCATCATTGAGAAGATATTAACGGAAAATGTCGACCAATCAGAGCGCGCGTATACCGTTGAAGCGGCCGCGGTAGCGAAGGCTACGAGCTAAGCGGCTGCGTCAATGTCCTTCGATACACGTCGAATCACTTGTTCGCGTACAAGCGCAACCGCTTAGCTCGTAGCATTCGTTACCGCGGCCGCTCCATCGGCATCCTCGAGCTCTGATTGGTCAGTGTTTTTCGTTAATATCTCCTCAACGAAGCCTCGTGCAACATTTTCGCTAAGGAAAAAGTTGTTTCAAATCACCACCCGAACCACCTCTTTCAAGGTGTTACAACATTTTTGGGACACCCTGTATACAACCTCCGAGAGCTGATATTCTGATTCGTACATTTATTAAAAATTAATGTGCCGAAAAATAGACGCAGCCGACAGAACGTATTGATTCATTTACCATTGTATACACATGAAAGACATTCGTCGAATGTTGATTGTACGTAATATGTAAAAATGTGACTTTTTTTGTGAATCATAAGCGAACAAACTTGAGAATGGTATACGATGAAATTACCTTGTCTATTTGCAGGAGTCGATGTCGAAGGATTCGAACTCCTGTACGGTCTCTTTTTATGTTACTCGTTATAATGAATTAGTTGAAAAGAGTTTCGGTGTTTTTTGAACCAGTCATCTTTCGGTAAATCGTATCACGATGAATCGAACGTCGAGTTTCTAAGTACATGTCTCTTGTCGTTTGAATTCGCAACCGTGATCACGATACTTTTCACTCTATTCAGCTATGAATTCTCTTCAATGGTACAGTGTTAAGTAAATATATATTATATATAATAAAGAGAACAGAATAAATGTGACTTTTGTACGTATGCATTTCTTCATAAACGTTTCCCCGTAATCTCGACTCCGGCGTATTAAATTTTTCATTTTGATTTTCCATTTATTTATTTCTACCAAGTTTCTCATAACTAATACCAAGAATTCCTGTAATATCATTCCTCATTCCGAAAATATTACCAACTATCAAAGCATAACAATTTCTTAATCATCTCTTTTGTAAAACGGTCCGACTGACCTTTCTCATGATAATGATTAAGTTATTTCTGTCGAGTGTTCAATTAAAAATCACTGCACGAAAAGATCGTTTATCAAAGTTGCATGTGTTTGTTGCAATTAGTGCCAACTGAATGTGTTCAATGCCTATAAATGGTGCATACGTAATCTACAAGACAATAACGCGGTGTATGTTAAGCAGTAACAAGTGAATCTTCCGGATGCGCGGTAACACTACATGAGCATTATAAATTTACGCGTATAAGGACAAAAAGACAGTATCCTGTAGAAGCCATATCTTTCTATATGTGTGCCTCAACAGCCTGCCAACTCGTTAATGAATATGTGCCTATGTATACATATAAAATGTGTACATGCAGTCCTATCAGGTTATGTATATATCTGTACGCGGCTTGACTGTGTCTGTGTGTGTTTGCGTGGTGGTTAGTCGACACCAGTCGTCACTGTTAGTTATCCCAGCCACGATGAATGCGCCGCATTGATTTTTAAACCGTTTTAACGTTAATGTCGCAATTATTAATAAACAATCGAAATTGTCCTACGCATTATAACGATTCTGACCAGTTAGTGCGCGACGCGATTTTGTATTTATCGTCATAAAATGTATTTGTACCGCTGTCAATACCGGTAGTGTACATCAGAATACGCCCACGACACTTTATATATGGATTTTCCTTTTAAAACAGTGCGAGAATTGTTTTAGAAGAGACAGTTAATAGGGAAAAAGTTAAAAGAGTGTCGTTCGTTTCATTCATTTGGATTAGTTGTAATGAACCGTGACAGTTGATCGAATTGTGCATCCCTTCTCTTTTTGACATAAAACTAGGAGTGAGACACGAAAAAATCGATTTTTCGTTTACACGTGCGAAAAATAACGAAGCACATGTGAATCTGGTAAATACCGGATAGAATAAGTAAGGAATGGGAATTGACAGTATGAGAGTTGGAGGAGGCCGATGTCCTCCCCTCCTTGTTGGAGGACTTCTCGTCGCTTGTTTAATGCTAATTTGCAACTGGTGGACTTTGTCTTCGGAAAATATTGAGCTGGTTAGACAGATCGACGAATTGAACGAACAGCTTAAAATTAGGTATTATTTTGTGAGCTTACGATATTTATTTTGTACAACATGTCACTTATTGCAATGTAAACATTAATGTAAGGTACCTAAGGAATTGTATTTTAGTGTCTATTATTTTTGCAAATTACTCCTTGTAACAATACCACTTACATCGTATTGTGACAGATTTTATTGTCTTGAAGTTTGCAAGATATCATGCTGGAACTAAAAGTGAATTTTATTGTGTCATTATTTCTATTTTGACAGATACTAACAGAATGTTTATATGCATCGTGGTGGCAATATTAATGTTTGTACAAGAAAAAGAGAAAATTCAAGTTATAAAAATATAATAATATGAAAACTTCCTTTTTAGTGCCGAAGAGAGAGATCAATGTGTTACATTACGTGGAAATTTGGAGCAGCGATACAAACATGCAGAGGAAGAGATAGCATCCTTGCATGTACGTTTAGAACAACAAGCAGATTTGAAGAAGAAAAATGAAGAATTGGAAGATTCTGTTAGTATATGCAAGAGTGAATTGGATTCGCTGAACAAATTAGATGCTACCAAAACTGCAACATTAGAAACATTAAGACTAGAAAAAAATACATTGAATACGCAAATAGACGTAAAACAGGATGAAAATAAAAAGTTACAAGAAGAAGTAGACGAGGTATAAATTTTGTTTTAAAAATATATACTGGTTTGCAAGGTTTGATAGATGAATTTTATATGTAGCATTAAATTTTTGTTACAGTTGAAAGATGAACTTGACAAGCTCAAACTCACATGCAATAAAACTCCTGAAAGGAAACTTAATGTCCTCCAGCAGTGTAAGTTACAATATTATATGTATGATTCTAATTTTATTTTATTTTGTACATTTGTGTTTTTTGAGTCATATGTTTACACAAAAGTATAAATCCAGGAATTAGTTTTGATTGCTCAAATTATTGCAGCTTTTCCAATAATAATTTCCTAAATAATTCTAACATCTTTGGGGTATTGATAGAAGCATTAATGCAACCGCGATTTTCTTTCATTTCTGCGTATTATCGATTGATTTAGCATTATAAGACATTCCGAGGGTCTGTCAATTTAGCTACAAGAACGCTCATTAACAAGACTCAATTGGGTCCTCTTCCGGAGACAGCTGTAAAAGTATCTGTAGCTGGTCAACGTGGTTTGAAGTATCATGGAATTCCAGTTCTTCCAACAGATCCACCTGGCGCTATGCGCCTAAGTCCTCGCCTCTCAGTTGCAATGCTGAAAAGTAGCAATACTTTTCTCCTACCTCAGGGTAAAAGAAGATTATCAGAAAACTAAAACAATATTCCTCCAGTAACTCTGTATGAAATTGTTGTATTTTCCGTGCTCCTACTATCAAACTTCTGTTCATATGAAATGGATGACTTGGTTAATGAGCATATCGCACCGCTTATTTATGTAACATATAGAAGTATGACTTGCTTCACATCAGTTGTCAAAGTGTGGATGAAGAAATACGGATTTTATCCATTGTCTAAAAGTATTAATGTTCCCAAATTTTGCTATTGAAAGTCTATTTGAAATTACAAATTTCATATTTATTCCCTGAATAATGTTTAGTATTTGATAAAAAATGATAAATAATCTTCTATGCTTCACTGCTTCATTCTTAAAACATTCCTTTCATTTATAATATAAATGATTAAAAAGTGCATTCAAAATTTGTATTTCCTTCTGTGATTTAGTTATCTTTGTTGTTGCAAATTTACTTAATATTTAAATTTCATGAGGTGATATGAAACCTATAATATTAATTATAGATTTTACTCTATGTATTTGTATCAACTTAAGAAATAAAAACTATATGAATATTATACATTTTAAGTATAGCATTCAACATTTTCATTTACTGTGATTTTTTTTTAACAAATTGAATTATATTCATAAATTTGTATAAAAAAATGATATATGTACTAATAATTAATGTGGATTTATACCTATAATCGCAATGGTCTGAATTATGAATGGTACTACATATGATTATTAATACACACAACAACTAAATAAATGGTGAGGGCTGCACTAATATCTGGGGCTACTAAAATAATATTTATTAACGATGGTTTATTTGTACTTAAAATAAACTGTAATTAAAATCTTTCAGAAACGTCTGCATTATTTCATTGTAGAGTAGTAATTTAGTTTACATGACTTTCAGCTCAAGCAACTCCAAGACAACGAAACAATACTTCCAATGATGGCAAAGATGACAGTCTAAATACAGAAGGAGTGGATAACATTGGTAATTATATACTGTAATTTAAATATACAACATTCCTATGAATTTCGCTTTTTATTATCACATTCATAATTCATTAATCTGCATTGGTTTCAAGTAGAAATAGAAGCAGATTTAGATTATTTTGTTTTTGTTGTGATTTATATAGAAAATAATAAACAAGGAAACGCAGGATCCACGGACAGCAATGTAGCAGAAAGTGAAAGAGATCAGGAAATGAAAGCAGGAACTGGAGACTGATAAAAATGTAACAAAGGGATTTCATACAATAACAGAAAAACATGTTTTAAATATACATTAAAATGATAGAAATATAACTTTTCATAATCGTTTATATCTGTTTACGAATAATAACAAAATATTATTTACTCATCACTACATCAAATTTCAAAATCTTTTATAATTCAATAATTTGAATTAAAATACACGTACAACTACACGAGAAAGAAAACTTCAGATAAGTGCCAATTTTTTCTACTTATACTATGTAAGATTTATATTATACAACGTTTCTACTACTTCAAACATTTTCTTATTATTTTGTGCTGTTATTAAACTTTTCACTAAAATAAATGTTGAGATAGCTTTATAAAAATTAAAAAAATTATATTAGTCAATAGCAATAAATTATGTGTTGTTACTCTGAATGTAATTCAGTATTCAACTGGATCATACCTAAATAAAACAAATATATTACTGAACATTAAATGTATCTGCAGAGAAATTGTGAAAAATAAATCGTTCTTGTATATTAATTATTTACCATTATGAACCTATGCAACGAAAAACATTTATGAATAATAACTTTGATTTCCAGGATAAGGTATGAACTTGAATATAGACCTGAAATAAATAAAGAATAATATTTCAAGCATTGTATTGGAAAACACTGTATTTGTAGATTAGGATCATGTATTTTGAATACTTTTATAATTTGTATTTTGATATTTCCAATCAGCAAATCACATTTACAACTCATATACGATATTAATTTTACACAAAATTATTTCAACCATATCAAATTTATTATTTAATATCAAAATGCACACGTACATTATATGCACTTTATTGTTTGTTTGTTTTTATTCTGTTAAAAGATTTTGTTCAATAGTACATCAAAAACTTATACTTTGTCTAATATTTTATCGTATTGTCATTGTAAATTGTGTTTCTTCTGTATATTATTTATACAGAACTGATTTGAACGTACTACGTTATTTATAAAGTATCATTTCTAATTCTTAACACTTGTATATCTAATCCAATTTTTTCAGTAATACCTATTACATTTTATACTGGGAACACACTTATACAAATTTCTTTTTCATATTGATACAGTACATATTATCGCATTTTTGTTTGTTCTACATTTTATATGTACATACACTACTCCATCCTAAACTGTTCAAAATTATAAGAAAAAATATTAATTACACTATGAAACTAAAGCAACCGTAGACCTCTTTCATTGTTCCAAATATTTGAAGATTAAACACACTTTACTTGTATTTAATAATACTTCTTACTTTATTGGTACAGAGCTGAGTGTACTATGCAACTTATCAATTTTGACAATAATACTTTACTTTACTTTTATACTAGAAAATAAAATTAATTCTGTTATTATCATTACTAATATGATGGATTAAATATTAATCACCAATATCTCCTAATAGTATTATTTATAAAATATTTATAACAATTGTAATACTAACGCATATAAATATTTATAGGATATGGTAAACATACAAACGATCGTGTTAAATTGTGTTTAATCAAATTTTATAACTGCATATTTAAACTGTAAATTATTATGTGTATAACAAAATGCAAAACTTGACTAGGAAACATTAAGTAACGACTAGATGTTTAGTATATAAACTTACACTTAACCATTCTTTTTGTTTATATATTATGACTATTTGCCATTAGCAATTTGCTCTATTACGTGGCAACTATTTAAAGCATATCATTCTATTAATATATCGCTAAACTGTCACGATTCATCTATAACTGTATACTTCTTTACACACTCTAGAAACGAAAGCGTGTATTCTGAAGCTGCACGACTTAAAAATTTCAATAAATAACAAATGTTAGGAATCGTGAAAATAAAGTCTATTATATGTGTATGTATATAGTGTTGATTCTAATTCGAAAAATTTGGATGTTGTTTAAGAGCCATTTCAGAAGTTTTGGTAGTTCTTAAACGTAAGAATTCTGTGACCACTTTAACATCCCAAACTGCTATCGTTATTTGTTTAATCTTTAAACATAAAAATATATTCGTGTAAATATTTCTTTTGATAGTAAAATGTCTTTTTAAAAATGCTTACGCTTTGTGCGATTTTTAAATATGTAACATTTGTAAACTTTACAAATTATCGAAACTTTCATATACTTTATAGTAATTTACTTTTAATTCAATATAAAATCATTCGTAAAATCTTATTTCTGTAAAAATTAAATTAGCATAAATAAAATTTAATTGTTAACTTCGTATCATTAATTAGGACAAGATAACAATTAGTATTATAAAGCTTTCCCTACATCTTGCATTTACAAAATGTTGTGCATTTACATGTTCTTTACTTTGTTTTTATTATGTTAGCTCAGCACTGAATGTTAATTTCTTTGGTCATACGATGTATCGACTATATCGTGGCAATTAAAATTTAAATTCTGCATAAAAAGAGACAACAACTGGACGCGGCTATATTAATTTAAACAGTACGTAAGTAAACTATTCCTGTAATAATTAGGCATTTCATTTCAATTATCTATTACTTTGCTTGATAACGTATACTATAAATAACATTAACAGCCTTTTTAATAAATAATAATGAAAGAACTATTGTATCAGGAGACAAAGAGCCACGGAAATACTATTACTGCCATTGTAAAACTGTACTCTAAAGAAACATAAACCTCGTATATAATATTGTATGCTTAACTCCTTTTTGAGCAGCAGAGACAATTAAACCTATTCTAACATAACGATGCAGAATCCGTGATAATAACCATGTATCGTAGTTTACGTTTTATGTCTCTATTACTATGTTCAAAATATAATGGGGTTAAAGATAAGGCAGTGTGACGCGAGTAAATGAGTCTCTAAATAGGGAGACTACTATCAAATATAAAAAAATCATTGAAAATTTTGTTCGTTGTAGTCTGTAGAAATTTAAACTGTTCGTGTTGCCGTGATTTATCAATTTAAAATACACGCTATCAATAGGACCTCTAATAAAATGATCACATTCATGGGGAGTAGTGATGATTGCTATTGTGTCTTTGTTTTCTTCTGAAAATAAAGGCAAAAATCGATCGTAGTCGCCACCAGCGACTGTGCTTACGCACCGAATTTCGTGACCTCTCTTTAGCTCGAATCTGTCTGACTAACGAGTAAAATGCATCATCTATAAATTGCCTAAGTGCTGCGGATGTTTCATAGAAAGGACAACCAAGTTGATCAGCAAGTGCTTTCCCTTCTTCTGTAGTCACCTGTAATATGATCATCATACACATGAGACTGATACATGCTAATTCTACACAAATATTCTACCTTTCTTTGATGCTGCAAGTCAAATTTATTGCCGATTAGTACCAGCGGTATATCCTCGTTAGCCCTTACGCGCGATATCAGTTTCCTATACTCCAAAGCTTCCTGAAAACTATGCCTATCCGTTACAGAGTAACATATCATAAAACCCTCTCCACATCTCATGTACTGATCGCGCATAGCTGTGAACTCCACCTAAGTTTGAACAACCATAAGCTACAAAATATTTCTAACTCCAGACAGTCATGAGTTTTGTAATAACAAATTCTGACCTGTCCTGCAGTATCCAATATATCTAACAGTGCAGCCTCTCCATCTATAACTGCCTGCTGTTGATACGAATCCTCTATCAATAATAAAAAAGATTAGATCATACTTATCTTGAATGAAGCTATTGATTTGAGTACATTATACAACATCCTTACCTATAGTTGGGTCGTGGTAGTCAAGAAAACTATGACTAACAAACTGCAAGGTGACCGCTGAAAAATGATTTCAGTAATATAGATATACTGCAACAAGTTTTGAGGAGAGTTGAGAAGGATCAGCATCAAATATTTTGGCTACTCTGGACCATTTCTCTGACTATAAGTAATGTCAAAAACTGCCTCTCTCCTTACATTACTGCTACACATCTCTGCATTTTGAGTGGGGTTGAGAGTACTCCAATATTAAGCAGAGTATACAGTTTGAAAGAGAATGACGAACTTAAAGAAATTTAATTGGAAGTTTATATGAGACTAATCAAGTATGTGCTACATATTTACAAATAATAGATGCAAACACCAGGGGTACTTGAACTAGAACTGGAAGCGTTCTGAATACAGACAATGTTGACAAACATTCCCATCTTTGATTCCAAGAGATTAAGACATGTGTCAGTAGGTTTATATAAAGGGACAAAGAATTGCGTACCAAAGGTACCAAGGTATATCAGTTTACCTTTTAACGGACTTGAGCGGCTAAAATATTTGACGCGTACTTTGGTCGAGGATAGAGGAATACCAGAGTAATACCTGATTTACCAACACCACCGTCGCCCAAAACGACGATCTTGTACACTCTGAGTCCACCCCTGGTTGTAGGCTGTGGGACTACCGGTAGATCGTTCTTGCCGTTCAAGGCCACGTTTCTATCCTGCAGGATGTCAGCTGACATAGTCGCGTATTCCTGTTTACCGGTAACCTAACGCTCGCTACGGCTACGGCATACGTCGGACTTTTACGAACTGAGTGACATACTTGGTCACGTATCGGAACACGCGCTTAGACACACCCGTATCGCCTGTTAGATCAGGAAAGATACGGTACATGTTTGATCGCGATTGCAAGCCGCCGTTTTTCGCAGCGGCCCGGAACCGCGACGAGCGACACTTAATACCAACGATTGATGATTTTTACAGTTAGACACGGCATGGCTGATGAACACGGGCTGACGACCGGGGCTTGACAGAATGTGACAGCGGCGAAGATTAGGCACGCGCACAGTCGTCTACTCAGGGACGTACTCACCGACTCTATCCACACGTATAAATAAACTTCCGAGAGAAGATATTTTCGTGAATTCGTTTTTCCTTTGAATTTTCTGTATTTTGTAGTTTGATTAAAAATACCAAAGTTTAAGAATACATTTTAAACATTTCTAATTAGTTTGTCTGGGTATCTGTTACGCCATAACTCGGAAACGTCTCGATACATTTCGATCAAATTTTCTACACGCGTGGACATCTTTCTAACTGAGAGAACCTAGATCTATTAAAGTATAAATGTTAAAAATAAAAATTCTCTTCACACAACCTAAAACACCGCCAGAACTGTATATACACACGCGCACTCGCGTATCCACTCAAAGTTACACAAAGATGTCAGCTGATATTGAAGTATTCGTGTGTTACATTCGGTAGCTGTGTAATTACAGAGTACTTTTTGTCGAATGCACGGATCTTTTAATTTGTAAATACGAAATTCTATAGTATGAACGAACGAATGAATACAAAAGACAAATGTCGATATTTGCTCATCCTATACTCCATAGAGTACGATGTGTCTGTTATCGCTTGTCCTATACACGAAATACGTCTATATCTATTAGATCTATTTCAATTATAAAATCCATTCAAATGTACTCATATCTGATCTAGCATTTAATACCAACATTGTGTTGTGTAATTTTGAAATGGTCTACATATACAACTGAATTAGACTTTATTCATAAAGATAAAAACAAATGAATCATTCGTCCGCTCACTCTGGGCAAGCAACATTTGTTACGTTGAGCTTGATGTTAGGAATTTTCGTGAAATTCAAGTATAATGTAGAGCGCTTGAAATTAAATGAAAGGAGAAAGAAATTTATATTTTTTATGTAAAGAAGGAAGGAATTTATATTTTTTATGTAAAGGAGGAAGGAATTTATGTTTTTCATGTAAAAATCTGGCATATATAGTTTCATACACAATGTTCGCTACTTACATATCTTTATCTACATATTAGTAACAAGTAACAATATCTAATATTCTCTAGTTATTGCTAAATCAAAAGAGATAGCATTCCCGTAAATATAGTATTGATAACAAATCTCATGAGCTTAGAATAAATGTCGCGTAAGTTTGTAAGAAATGTCGACGCTATGACACATCTTACATAAACAATTACGCAATAATTTGTATACTAACTTCAATTCCACTACAAGACAAGAGAAATTCGAAGGAAATTGTGATCTATAATTATTGAACAAACCAATAATTGGAAAATAAAGTGGGTGTATCTTGTAATTGCATCTTCTTTTTTAAACTTTTAAACTATCATACTTTCTCTTGTGAGTTCCCGGTATTTTTGTTCAAATTAATAGCCATCTAATGGCGAACACACCGAACTAATTTCGGAGTGTGATCAGCGCCTCTATCGAGAAAACGCCCAAGTTTGTCGTGGAATAGTTCCTATTTGTACTGTTAGATGGCGCTATTAATACCTTTTTACCGACATACGATATATATTCATAATAATTACGAATTCTACTTTATTACATTCATAGTAATAAACTTGTAGTTATATCACAGATATTGCAACAATAAAAATGATCTAGAAAAATACTTTTATTTATACCATTGTCGGTAAATCATTGAAATGGCGTTATCTAATGTCGAAAAAGGTAACTATTCCACGACAAACTTAAGCGCTTTCCCGATAGAGGCGCTGAGAACGAAAAGGAGACGAATAGAGTCCGTTCCGTTTTATTTTTCCGAAGCTCCCGATTCACGTACACGATTTTGTAGCTTTGTGTGCGTACAACTGTTTCTGTGTGGAACATAGCGGCGTCACCGACGGCACGGGGATTCGCGGGCCGAATCTGGCATCTCTGTTCTCGACAGCAACTCTTGGGAGTAGAAGTAGAAGTCTCCAATGATCATCAGGCATCCAACATAGCTATGGTTTAATGTTTCAGTAGTAAGGTGGTGGAACACCTTTCGCGAATAAATTGACGAGACAAAACCGTGCTAATTCCGATACGAACGAGATTAGTGTATCTTCGATTTGACATTGTCACAGAGAATTGACGCGCTAAGATAAATCGAATTTCTCGAGATACGTATATATGTTTGGTATCGGAGGTTATAATTATTTTTGTAGGCAGCGAGCATTATGAAGACTTTCTCTAATAAAGCGAGACTGAACGATGTGCGTACGTTTGATTGTCAACATATGCAGTTGCTCTCGGTGAAGAAGATCGTTGGTATAAACGTTATCCACGAACATGTACCCTGTTGCAGCATTGCTTCACGAATTCAATTGATATGCTTGACAGATTGTTATTGTCAAGAGACGAAAAACACGTGGGCATTTTAACGGACGTGTGTATATAGTAGACGATAATGAAATAAGTATATACGGAATGTCCCTCGTATTTTTGACGCCTGAGTTCTTTGATTCTTGAATTAACGTTTTTCCTTGACACATTGCTCCTGACACTCGACGCTAATAAAGAGCAAATGTTGATTACGCGTATTTAAACATCGTTAAACAGGGTAAAGATTCGCAGGCAAGAGATAAGAGTTATGAGATTATTGAAACTGACCGGAATGATCCATAGGAAACATTTTCTGTCCACGAGTAAAGAACAATGTGTACCTTGAACAAAGCTGTAAGTTTTTGTGTAATATAAGAAAGAAACCAATGTGCAGTATAACTAATAATACTTATGTTCCAGATACTCAAATTCCTCTATTGGAGTTACTATAATGTATTAGTTTATAAGTTAAACAGAAGTTTTTGAAACAGTTGCTTGGTATAGTAGCTAGTAACATGTTTCATTATATATATATGTGATTATATTAGAGGAAAATTCTTGTAAAAATGTCAGATGCTACTTGCTCGAGAAATAAGAAAGTGGATAATATAAATAATAAAGAAGAGATGATTTATGAAAAATGGGAACGTTTCCATAATTGGGTACATTGTATGTGCATTGTTACTTTTGATCTTGAACTAGGTCAAGCTATAGAGGTATATTGTGGTTTATAATTGTCTTCTTTGTAATGCAATTTTTTTGGTAAATATATTACATTTTTAATAATATACATTATTATTTGCTAGGCTATATATCCAGGTCATATCATGTTATCTGAACAAGAGAGATCTAACGTCTGTTATCTCGCTTTTCCTGATTCCAACTCTGGTTGTATGGGAGATACTCAATACCATGTCAGAATAAGACAGAATGGAGATATAGTTCAAGAGACTAAGGCTTTAAAAGAATACGATAGAAGATCACCACCATTTTTACAATGCGATAAAGATTATTACTGGGGTTATGTATACTTCCGTCAAGTAAAAGACAAGTCCCTTCCAAGAGGATATTTTCAAAAGGTATGCTTCATATAACAATATACCGAGTATATGAGTACAACATTTTAAAGATAATTTTATCCGTTTTAGAGTATTGTTATAATTACAAAACTGCCATTTGTGAATCTCTTTGGTGAATTGTGTGCTCTAATTGCACCTGAGTTTTTTGAAATGGGTAATGCAGTCATGGAAGCTATAGTAAGAGAAATTGATCAGTGGCCACCTCCAGCACCTGGCCAGATAATTCATTTACCACTTATAGGCGTTTTATTTCAGGTAAACATTAATATATTTTTATTCTGAAAATATCGTACATTCTTTTTTATTTATATTTTAGACGTATATTCCGAATCAAAACTATAAGTCAACTGCACCTACCATTGCTGCCATGGATCATGCGCCAAATTTTCACGCAACCCGAAGACTAATCTTAACATCTGCCTATGAGGGAGACATGTTTAGAAGTTTAGCTAGCGTCGTAAGTTACGTACACTTACTATGGGAACTAGTATTACTTAGCGAACCAATCGTTGTTATGGCCGGTTCACCTACTGGTTGTTCCGAAATGGTCCAAGCACTAATCGCGTAAGTATTTCTTTAGATACCTAATTATAAAATAAAATGCATAAAAATAATCTGCTTTTAGGATGATAGCACCATTGAAATATTGCGCCGATCATCGACCTTACTTTACAATTCATGATTCTGAGTTCAAAGAATATACTACGGATGCCCCGTCGCCTCCCGCTGTAATATTAGGCGTAACGAACCCCTTCTTCGCTAAGACTCTGCAACATTGGCCTCATATTATCCGAATAAGTAACGGAATTAATAATGGTAAGTTTAGTAAAATGTTGTGTAGATAAAGTGCATTTAAGTTTCCTGTATTACAGAAAATCAAAAGTACAAAATAAAGAAGTCGGAGAATCTCAAAGTGTTGGACTCGAAACCGGGAGTTTATACACAATATAAACCTTTTCTCCAGAAGGATAAAACTATATTAAAGAAATTATTTAGAGGTATCCAGACAAAGAGACCCGGCGAAGTGCAAACGGCTCTTCTAAAGCGTCATTTGATAGAATTAACAGAAAGTTTTATGATACCTCTTGAGAGATATATTGCAAGTCTTATGCCGCTACAAAAGGACATATCACCTTTCAAAGTAATTCTTACTTAATCACAATTTAAAACTATCTTCTACAGGTTGAATATTATTAAACAAATAATGTTTATTTTAGGCTACACCCATACCTGAATTGTTTAATCCAGACGATTTTTTAGCTACATTGAGTAGCGCAGGACCACAGTTGACTACAGGAATAAAAGGAGATTGGGTAGGATTGTATAGACGCTTTTTTCGCTCGCCTAATTTTTCTGGATGGTTTCATACTAGGTATACCGAACTGTCGCAAAAATTACAAGTCATACAACTGGAGGCACTGTCAAAAGCGGTACGTTGTAAATCAAGATTGTCTATCTTCCAAATTGCATTGTTTGTTTGTAATAAATAATGATTGTTATAGGATTTAAAAACATGGGTGCAAGGGAAACAGGAAGTAGAACTAGTTGACATGATTCTCAGAATTCGACAAAAATTAGAAAAGACGTATATCGATGAAGTACCTATTGGTAACTCTGTAAGAGAAAAGCTTCAGGAAAGAATAAACGACATCACGCATACGTTACCAGACGATTTGAAAGACATTTTAAATCATGAATCTTGACATTACGATCACGCTATTAACTTTAAGAGTCGGTGAACGACATTTACATTTAGATACAAACGAAGTTATAAGTATGTCAATGGACGAACTAGATTAAAACTATGTCCAAGCATCGCTCTCTTTGTTGGTAAATGTAAACAAATGATATGAACAGAAGAAATAGCGGGGCGAAATATCTAAAATACGTAGAAAACGTGAAAACGTAGGGAAATATTGTATCGATGTATTTCATGGGAAGTTTAGTTTTATTTGTAGTTTAATTTTTTTATTTCCTGCTTAAATACTCCGAGATGGATATTTCAGGACTACGCATTTTTTTTTTATATGTAACAGGAGGAGTGATACGGAAGTCAATACTGGTGCGTGAAATATTTTATAGGTGCAACTAAAGACTTATGTGCTCGTATTTGTATTTCTACGCCGACGAAATAATAATACGTATATTTATTATCTTAATATTTTTCTCCGACAGAATTCGCCGTTTTCTAGTACTATAAAATTCATATCTACGTTATATAACCGAGTTTCTTCCTAAAATCATTTATCTCGATTTACTAATAATTTTGGATTCGTTTTGTTTCTAAGATCCATCAATGAGATAGTATTTTTTATTCCAAGAATAATAATAAATCCTAATTACATGTGAGTGTGACAGAGAGAAGAGCACTAATCACTGTATGTATATATGTGTTTAACTTGAGATCTGTATATATTGATATGAATGATAAATGTAATAAAGATTTATTTTAATAACATTGTACAATTTATTACGACTGATCGCATAGCAATCTATAATGATCTGAAGGACCAAACGTAGATTTAATATTTTCTATACGATATAGTTCCTTAGTGCTTTAAACAGTCGCTAGCGCCTCTAACGGCAAAACACCCAAGTTTGTAGCCAAATACTTGCTATTATTGTAAGTAGATAACATTACTAATTCTATATACCGACATTGCAAATTGTTTTCGTTGAAAACTTAAATTCAAGTCCATAAAATAATTCCTACAAGTTCAAATTAATGAATGCTATGCGTGGCATGACGTAAACTATTTAAATATCTAAGGAAAAGTGAAATATTCTAGAAACTGTAATGTCGGTAAGAATTTAGGTACATCTAACGGTGCACAGAGGAACTAATCGGCGACAAACTTGAGCGTTTTCCCGATAGAGGCGCTGACCATATTCCGAAAATTAGTTCTACCTCTTCGCCACCAGATGACGAACGTTTCTCGCAAGAACTAAATCGAGAAATAAAAAAATACTGGAATACATCTTTATAAATACGTTTACTAGTATATTACGCTTACTGGTAGCATAATATAGAGGTCAAAATTAGTTAGGAAGATGTTTTACGAGTATTCCTTCATAAACGAAAGCTCGATCATTCTTCAAAACCGTTACCATTGGAAAATTAAATTTTTATCAAATTCTAGTCGGTAAAACAATGACTACAGGTTCAAATCATTGAATTCTATCTTGATATAACGTAATATCATGTAAATATCTGAGGAAAACTAGAATATTCAAGAAACTGTAATGTCGGTACTGATAAATCTGCTAAATAGCACCATCTAGCGGTGCACGGAGGAACTATTCGGCGACAAACTTGAGCGTTTTCCCGATAGAGGCGCTGATCATACTCCTAAAGTTAGTTCACCTCTTCACCGCCAGATGGCGAATGTTTCTCGCAAGAGACTACCATGGAATTTAAAATGAAAACTGGTACACAACTTTAGAGATGCATTTAACGCTTTATTTTACAAACAATTTCCGTAAAACTTTGAAGTTTTATGTTGCGTACGATTAAACAAAGAGTATTCGACTGAAATAAGTAGCCAACTCGCACCTTCTTTAACTAAAAGTAATCATTAATATAAACACCTGGTACTCGCGACATCATCTTGCTATGCTTTAATATAGATTATTTCAGGGATAAATGAAAGGTTTAAAACACACATGCTCACCACTCGATTATGTAATTTTTTTTCCAGTTTATTTTTCACGAGGTACACGACCGTTATTGTTACATTCCGCAATTATATTAATTAATTTCTTAATAGTTTCGGAATTTAATGTTTGCCACCTTACGTTCTCGTTAGTTATTCATTAATATATTATCATACTTTCAATGGAGTCAACAACATATATATATATATATTTTTTTTTTTTTTTATTTATTCTCATATGTATATATGTATATCATTTATATATACGTATCGGGTGTGTATGTTCATCCTTACGAGTGAATGCACTGTACCATAGGATTTTAGCTTTATTACACAATTCACAAAGTCGTATTTTGAAATAGGGGATTGCCGAAGTACACCATACACATAAGTCATTGAATGATTTTCGTTTGGCCATGAAATTTCAATTTGTTTCTATATCTCGAATCATTTTTTTTTCTGAGAGAAAGACGTTCGCTTATGTTCGAACAATACGGTCAAAGTATACTTTTTATCTCGCGTCTCAGTCTGGGCACAAGAGGACACAACAAAAAAAAAAAAAAAAAAATAAAAAAGAATACGGGACTATTTGTTACAGTACCCTTCGTTTCCTGATTTCTTTCTTTTCGTCGTTTACTCGCGAACGTCGTGCAACGCGCGAAGAACTATAACAGAAGGATCGGCACGGTGAACGAAATCGACAGAGTACGTACAACAGGTCGCCAACGAAAGACTCGACATCGCAATAGAGTTCACAGAGAGACAGAGTTATTCGCCCGCTAATTTCTTATAAGGGCGTGTCCCTTAAATAATAATAACAGGGCCGGCGGTGATCTTTTGCGGCGCCGGGTTAAAAAATGTTGCGGGGCCTGAATTCACATTCGAATCCTACACTTAAATTTTACAACGAGGAATCACTTATTTACAAATGCTATATATTTTTTATAAGACGAATATTAAATAATAATATTAGTTTGTCTGGAAAGTCCGTGCCGATTTCTGGTAGGTGGTACACGTCTGTTTATATTAAAATGTTTGAAAACAATTAACATAGGCGCATCCCTTAAAAGGTGGAAAGGTTGTGGAACAAAATGGTATTTATATAATTCAATAAATATATATATCAAAATTCAAATATGCCTTTGAATTTTTCTTAAAACTTTGCCACGAACTTTCTGAACAACCCAATACTTTGATGATTTTTGTCACTCTTTTCAATTTAATCATCGTTACTAAAAAAATGTCTTGCATCTCAGCAAAAGTTGCTTTCATTTGTTAATGGTATCATCAGTCTGTAAAGAGTTAATCAAAATCGGTGCCTTTTAATTCGGTAATTTTCGTAGACCGCGAGACCTTTTAAAACGCGGGGCCGGGTTCCGACGAACGCGCTGAATTTGCCTTGCGCCGGCTCTGAATAATAATAAAAAAAGAAAGAAAAGGCGAACATAGCGTTCACTACAGAAGTGGTATATAATTATATATCGACCCAGTGGGCCCTTTGTGTGAAAATAGCGAGGGAATCACACTGTACTCGGCTGTGGCTTAAGAAATACACAATTATCGCTTCGGGGATTTATTCAGCCACATATATATTTGTATGCATATATTTTTATTCATATACACCTATCCTCCGACTTACACGGTATCTATGCTGCGTCATGTTTTTTTTAGTGCCGTTTGTATTTTAACATTGACATTAAACACAAAATAGTGTATTTTTTTATTGATCTTTCTCCTGGGAAAGTAATACAAAAATGTTTGAAGTAATTATTAAATTAAATATAACTGTCTAAATTATATCCCTTTAGTTCTTTTCGATCTACACTGTTTTTTTAATGCGAAACCACGACTCGATGATATATCATGTAAATCGAGGGACAGGTGCGCAACACTCGGTGTCTCCGTCTTCCATTAACTCCGACAAACTTAGGCCCGAATCATTGCGACATCTTAACGTTAATATATGTATATGCATGGGTACATATACGTATATTTATATATTTATATTTAATATAACATGTATACATCCAGCTGACGACTAGTGCGAATGATAAACACTTTCACGGCGCGTTGAGTTCAGAATTAATCTCTCCTTACGTCTTCTCGAAGAATTAGCTCCCGCTTGACATACCATCTCGCCTTTGACTTACGTCGAGTTCACCGTTTTCTAGGTTTCAATTGACGAATGATCGGGACCTCAACATAGAAGCGCACGTAGAACGAACACCTCGACGGGAAACGCAACGATTTTGCCAAATCGCCTTTCGTTGACTGTTTGTTCGAGTACAAGGATAGCTTGCATGGTTTTCTGCGATTCCGTGCATACGTAGTGTTGTTCGAGATACGTGTAATGATAGTCTCAGAGTACGGCGAGCACTCGTACTAGTGGCACTACAAGTAAATATACCGATATCACTAGTCCACGTGCTAAGTGTTATCTGAAACATCGTGAAAGAGCGTTGAGCTTTCAAACATTGTTTGTATCCACGTACTCGACATTGTTATTAACTCCTGCCTACAGTTTATAGAGAAAAGAGCTTCTGATCATACCAAGCTCAATTTATATTTAAAACCAAGAATACCATGCAAACTGTTCCTGTATCTTCTCGACTAATCGCTCCCAATTGTTAGGGTAACAAATAATACCTCCTCCTTTTTTGCATGTAACATTAAGAATCAAAAGATTCAATTTCTGGCGTTAATTTCACCGTCCACGCGAGAAAGACTTCAAACCTCGACGAAACGCTACTTTATAGCCCAGTATATCCAAAACTTGATCCAAGCAATTCCAGGCAACGATCGTTTGCTCGCGGAGCGCAACCCTTTATCGTCTCCGCGGTTTTCCCTCTATCCACAAATTGTTGTTTTGCCCCAGTTCCATCGAGAGCAGGGGAATTATTGGACGGCATGTCGCACGGAGAAAATCATCGTCGAGGAATTGTTGTTGCGGCCTACGACTATACACGACGACTGTATACTTCTATCGATTCGGTGACTTGTTTAATTGTTTCCTGGTCCGAGTCTCTCTTGCGTGGACACTGCTAGCCGAGGATCCAACGTGTTCTCTTTTAATTTTAAGCTAGTCTTGCAGGATGACGAAAAACACATTGTTTAATGTGTAGAAATATAAATAATTACAAGTACAATTCAGGAATTAATTTCACTTTAGGAATGAAATGAAAATTTTATATGTAAACGTTCCATCGAGGTGTGAGCACCTTAAATTATTTACTTAGGAAGGATATTGCGATAAAACTTTAATACAACGAAAGAAACATAGCTAATAATTTAACCAACCTCGTATCAACGATTGGGTATTGTTTTTCCAGGTGTCTTTGATATGGACTTGATAGACTGTGGATTTTCTGAATTTATTAACACATGTTGAAATATATTTCTTAAATTTACGTAATAATATTAATATTTTATTTTGCATAAGTGAATATAATCTACCAAAATTTAACTCAAAGATAACGTGGAAATTTAATTAATTATATCTCTAAACCTATCAAATGTCCACGTCCAATGTTTTGCACACATATTTGAGCAACAATATACACTACACCATTCTGCAAGGAAACGTTAAGATTGAAAGGGAACAGCTGGAGTCCTACCCTTGAGGGATCACAAGTGAATATACTCAATACATAGCGCGACACGTATAACAATTAAATCTGCGAATTCAACAAAAGAACAATTATATCTCTCGCGACGCGAACATCAACAATACGTCTCCTAACGATAAAAATAATCTCTCGATCGATCGTTGCGCGCAAGATAGATCCAGAGACGGCCAAATTTTGTACGAATAACAGTCGTTTGTAGAATTCCGATTCCTCAAACGTAAAATACAATTTATACAATTGAAATGTCAATTTTAATTAAACGAACAACGAGTTGCTCGTCCTTTATTCGTTATTCGATGCTTTTATCTAGACATGAATCATCTCATCCGTGGATGCATCGTCGCGGATCGCGAATAAGCTCGTCGAAATCGAGTTGATCTTTGGCATGCGACGAATCCACGATGAAACGTATCCGTTTACATTGTTTTTATTTTTTGTATAGTTTTTGGTTTCCTTTATCGAGGAAAAGCGTGTCCGATCCATCGAGTTCGTTTCGTAAAAAATAAATCGGACGACACGCGTTGATCGGTTTCGAAACGGTGTCCTTCGGCACACGGCAGTGTAATAATATCGGAAAGTCGTCGATCCTTCGAACCCGATGAAGAGTGTTTCAAATTTTGATTTTTTCTTTTATTTTTCCCTCTAATCGAGTCGTGTACATACTCCGTAGCACAGTGCATTTCGAGTTAACATCGTATAACGCGTTCGACACCGCGGCTGGCACGATTTTCACGCGTTATCTCTTTTGGTTTCTTTAATTAAATATCTTAACGGATCGAGAATCGTTACAAACGAGAAATTGTTTTCAAAATTCCTTGTCCCTCGGGTCTTAAACATTTTCCGTTCATGGGGGGGCGTGTACATTTTTCCATTTGTTTTACATCGATTCGTCCTCGTTAACCGGAGAACGCGTCGTCTAACAATTGACATAAAGTGTGGCGTTAAAGTGATACGTATTCCTCGTCGCGTTTACTCGCGTTCACACCCGTCCACCGATACACGCGCATATCCGGTAGATCCGCGAATTCGGTGATCGTCGACGGATGGAATCGACGGAGGTTCTAGAAGCGAGATCGATCGATCGACAAAATAATTTACAGTCTGTACAAGCGTAACCAGGACCAATCCCTTCTTCCCTCTCCGATCACTCGGATTCATTGTTTTCAATTCCATCATCTTCATCGTGCTCGAGGATCGCAAACGTGCCGTCTGTGACGACAAACAAACCTGGAGAAGCGGAAACAAGGAAGAGACTCTTTTTTTATTTTTTTTTTTTTACTTCCCCCTCCAGTCCCCTCTTTTCTTCGCCCCTCTCCGGTGCAATCGTCCGTGGCGAACGAAATGTCGTCTCGACCACCCTCGTTTCCTCTTCCCTGCCCGCTTTCGCCCTGCCTTATTCTCGCGTTATATACCACGCCGAACACCCACGACGCTCCGCAGTGGGCGTAACTTGCAGTGCTCTCGATTTAATCGGTTTTATCGAGCACTCGAGACCCCAATTTCGAGAGTGTAGGTCGCGACGGAAGGTATTCACCGCTCAAGGTCGTCCGCCCGATTGGAAATCGCGCAAGGCCAGGGTATAACTCTTTCGTATAGGGTCGTTGTATAGGATACGATGTTTGGCTAGGCTTAGAATAAGATTTCATTTAAATGTAAAAGAGGACAAATATAATTCTAAGAAGAACAAACCACAAGATAGACTTATCTTCTGTTGTGAATCAACACAAGGAGGAATCGTACTAGGTGTACACTGTGTCTCTTGGTTTGGACGAGACAATTTTGGAGAACGAATTTACTGAAACAAGTATAAGCAGGTTTAAGAAATGACTTGGTAAATAGATACTTAGTTTGAGTTTGTAGGGATTGTAATTTGCTTCTTTGTGGCTTCAAAAGTAGCGATGTGATCAAGGTTTGGAGTTGTTGTTTAGTTCAGAGGTGGTTGCCAGCAAAGCGCGTTGAGCCACAAATGACATTGCCAGGGAAAAAGGTATCTCGCTGTATCTTCAAACGCATCATTCGATACTAAGCTCCTCTATGGTATCCCGTAACACGTCACGCAAGGCTCATCGTGGCTGCTTTCGTTCAACTTGTGGTAACCCAGTTCAGAGTTGATCAGTAGAAGAGCCCCTACTCCTTACAGATCCAATGCAGAGTGGGGATAGAAGCTCCGCCTCTGGGCGGTACTAGACTGGCCAAAGTCCTGGTGGGGGGACTGCTGACCTCGAGCGACCAAAACCTTTCGCCTTGACTTCAAATTGACTTCTCAAACACCGTAGATCCTCTAAGTGGGTCTCTATTCTCGCGGTTTTGCGGGCAGCATCTCAAAGAAGACAGGTAGAAAGCGAAAGGGAAGAGAGGACCCAACCCGGAGATCCTTTCGCCTAGAGAAGCGATCTCCTCACTTCCTGGGAGGAAGGTTGAAGGAAGAGAAAGACACAAACCCACCCCCGGCGATCTCTGACACGATGAACAGGATCTCAATTGAAGCGACGAGATCGTCTCTAACCGGTCGCAAAGAGGATCTCCTCGGCTCACTTGAGGTCCTCGTCGTCCACGTTGGCTAAAAGGTCGTCGATATGCTTCTGCCAATCTTTATCCGTCGCGTGGTGCCCGACGACAGGCGCTGCGATGGCGCTCTTCATCTCGTTGCCCGTAACCACCTCGTAATCCTTCAGCTCGGCCTCCAATTCGCGTTCCCACTCTTCTTCTGCGGAGATTCACAAGCAGCGTTGTAGCTATTTTCAAGCGGGTCTCGCGAGTCTGCACGTTTCTTTGGGTGTGAAGTTGTATCTGGCGGTGTCTATTTGTCTTTGTGTACGTGTAAATGTGTTCGTGTATGTTTTCGTATGGTTTACATGGGTGTTTTGCGACGACAGAGCGTTCGTCAGCGTTCGACACGAGTCGCGATTTTCCACAGAGCTTACAGCATCTCGCGTTCCTGTTTCTTCGCATCGATCTCGCGACGCGTGTGTCTTCTCCGTGCGCCGGTGTGGGAGAATTTAATCGTGTTCCTGTGTTAGTGTTAGTTGGATGAAGCTTGGGAGGGGGTACCGAGGGGGGGGGGGGGGAGAGACAAAAACTCAAACCACACAAGGACAGAGAAACGAGGCTGGGGGTGGGTTAGAAACGTGAAACGGAACCGTACGAAGGCTTTCCGGCGTGCCTCGCAACCACGCGTCCCTTTTAATCTACCCTGACGAGCGTCGAAGCGTTTGTCTAGCTCTCAGCAAAGACGAAATCAATTTTCTTTACGGTTCCTTGGACGCGAGCGTCTTCGAAAGTGGAACTGCATCGTGGATGATATTTGGAACGATTGTAAACTTGCTGGTTCGTAAACTAGAAATTTGGATACATATTTTTGGAGTACTTGATCTGAATAAAAATTGTGTTTATTTATTTGAATTGAATTGATCGTGATCGAATGTAGAGAATTTAAAGAAAGATCGATCAAATGCAGGAAATAAATTATATTTATCACGCTATGTGCTGTACATACTGTGATACCGAATAAAAAGATCATGAAAATTCAAGTAACACGTTTGTATAATTTGTTGAATTAGGTGGCATATTTAATCTTTTCGATTATTAAATTTCAACCTTCTATTTATTTCATTTTAACGAAATAAATTTCAGTTTGTTTCGAGAGCTAACAATTTTCATATTCGTCGACCCAATATTTATGTAATAAATGAGAGAACCGATTGGAAATTGTACAAACATGTAACGCAATTGTCTCCCTCAGAGAAAAATCAACTCGATACTGGCGTGGATTTTTTGTCCCCGGATTGGGAATGGTTCTACAATTTAATGAAAACCGCTCAACATTTTTTCTTCGGTGTTGCGATCCTTTTGATTCATATTTTTTTTCACGATAACCTGGGACGTGTCAACTGTGAAAACAAATTTTTTTACACTCCGCGCGTGACGAGGCATCGATTCAATCATCTATACATGAACAAATTCCCACGAGTTGCCGAAATATAAATACACGAGCGAACGTCGAAAATATTGGAGGACCCTTCGATACGTGGAAAAGGGTTTACTTAAAATATTTTCGAATATTAATCGAGTTATTTTATCGTTAAGCACTTTAACGATCTCTCTTTAAATTTATATTTTCCAAATTAATAAAAGTTAGAAGCGAGAACATGGGAAATATTTTACCAATTACTGCCAGGTTCAAATGGAAAATTTTTAATTAACGTATCTAATAATTTTCTCCATCAAAAAGTTCTCTCAAATTATCCAAATGATAACATTCTACTTTTAATTTAATTTAGAGAATCACTGCGAATAATTGTACAATTTAATCCTTGTTCAGAGATGGTGATTGAGTATGATTGCTGAGAATTAGACAGACTCTTGATATCCTCGGAGATCATACGAAGCAGGCTTTTCCAACGGAAAGGGACGCGAGCAGTTCCGAACTGGAAATCACCCCCGTCGCGATAGCTCTGTTGGCGTGCGCGTCCCCGCTGAAACAATCGGAACCAAGACAAGTACCCGGGGTCGATTGATCGAACTGGGTGAAACCCTATTCTCCGGGAACGCGATTTAAGTAATTACGTCGCGTAGAGGGATTCCGTTGAACGCGTCTGAGCGCCTACGGGGAATCAAAGTCAACCTGGCTGTCCAAAACTCTCCGCCATCACGAGTGCATCGGTGTGTTCTCCCCTGGCTCGTTCCTGGTCTTCCCTGACAACTCTGCTAAATTATTAGGGTGTCCCAGACAATTTCAGACATTTTAAAATCATGATTTACGAATCATTGAATAGTGAGTATAACGAAATGAAATTCTAAGGGTGGCGATTGATTATCTTTTTATATTTTTTATTAAATTAAATGCATTTTTCTGTGGAAGAAGGCATTCCATGTATGTATGTATGTTTGGTGTGATATGAAACTTCATTTAATTTAACAATCTTCATTTCAAGTAAGTTATATGATTGATTTCTTTAAAAAAAAAAAATATATATATATATATATATACATGTCGAATTAAATAACCTCCTTCTTTTCGAAGTCGGTTAAAAAATATATAGTAACATATCCAAAATGTGGTACAATTTTACCTCAGATAATCTATTTCCACAGGTGGTTTAAGAATAACAGGAAGACGATTGAAACGAGCAATATTTTCTGGGACACTCTAATACCCTAGGAATCCAATGACAGAGACGGTTAAAAATTATATGGTGACAACCTACTGCAATTATAATCAGTGCGATGTTTCGGTGCAGTATTAACACAATTTCAGTTATAATTTTAATTAAAAATTCAAACTCCAAATAACTGGTGCATTACAAAAATTGCATCTATGTATGTGCAGAAAGGGATCCCAAGTAATCGTTATTTAGATAAAAACTCTGCCTATCTCTGTCCCACAAACGCCAAAATTTTCACGAACGACGCGACACGCGCCCCCTTTTTCCCTTTAGCACCCACTGTACATATCGATTCGTCTTTACATGCGCTCTCCATGTCGAGTCGGCCTCGACGTTCGATGGCCTCGCGAACGCCTATCGAGACTCGTCCCTGTCTCGTTTTATTATTGCACCCTCGTAGTCTTTGCAAGCCAGAGCATTGTCGACAAAAATTAGTCTTCCTCTATGCTTATATCATTTGATTTGTGTAAAGAAGTTGTTATCATTAACAGAAAAAAAAAAAGAGTGATTTAACATATGCAGTGGATGCAGATTTTAGTTTTCTATTAGGTAATTTGCTTGATAATTAATAAATAATCTTATTCCTCTTATTCTAGTTTCCTTCATCAAACCTAAATAATTTCTTTAACATAGCCGCGACTTGAATGAAAATCTTCGTTAATATTATTTAAATATCAAAGTATCATTAATGATCTTCAAATCATAAAGTAAAATCAACACAACATTCCCTTCATCAAACCTAAATAATTTCTTTAATATACTCGCGACTTGAATGAAAATCTTCGTTAATATTATTTAAATATCAAGGTATTATTAATGATCTCCAAATCATAAAGTAAAACCATGTCAACAGGTTCAGCCAGCAGGCAAGAGCCATTGTGTAAATGTACAGTGATAAATTACAGCACCCTTATAATTCCACACCCTTCGTATATCAACGACTTATCCCCATTTATATCGCAATAAATAAATAAATAAATAAATAAAAGTACTTCAAATGCACAGGACGGGGTGGATAGTTCCGTGACTGTATACCTTGCAAAGACTACAGTTGCAACAAACGAGCGGTTCGTATCGTCGTTTCTCTCACCGTTATTCCCGTAATCGAGTATTTTTACAGCTCGCACACCCCCTACTTGCCTTTTCCTTCATCCCCGTAATCGTGTGCACCGGTGCACGTGCAGGATTCTCTCGCGTGCTCGCTCGTACGCCGCTCGAGCGTTCGTCCATACGGAAAACGCGGAACTCGCGTTAATTAATTTCGTTTCCTCCTAGCTCCTTCTCGCCGGCCTCCACTCCCCAACCCCCCGAGAAGACTAATTTTTTGGTGTTTTCTCTTATTTGTTTTCTTATTTTTTACTTTTTTTTTTTTCTTTCGTCTTTTACGTTAATTAATATCCACGTTTCTATCGTTACTTGTTTTACTTTTGTTTTAATTCGCGATTACTCGTGCTCGCTCGGGTGGACGGGCGTGTAAACCGGTCGCCTCGTTTAATCCATTGATTTAAACACGTACATTATAAGTTTTAATCGGAAGGAAATCACTACGAAGAATTACACCCACGAGAGACGAGACGAAGTTACACCTCAATCTCCGGTTATTATTTTTTTTACTTTTTGTTTTTAAAACACGTATTGTCGTTCAACGAATATTTTTTTAGTTTATCTTATTCTCATTCCTCTCTCCAACGCGTTCGCGCTCACCTCGCTCCTGATACCATTTCCGCCCCGCCCGTTACCGCGTCGGTATCCGGTACCGCGCGTGGGCGGGCGGGTGACAATTTGTTTTTTTTTTTCTTTCCCCCACCTGCGAAGGATGGCGTCTCGAAATTGTCTAACGTTTCTCTCGAAAGACTCGATTCGCTACTTTTTTTTTTTTTCCCTCGAAAAACCGTACCGTACGCGTCCCTCGGTTGCATCGACAGTTTCTCACCCCCGACGAATCCTGTTCTTAAACGTTTTACAACACGGAGAGAATCGACAAGTGACAATTATAATGAAGACAGACAGACGACAGACAGACAGACAGACAGACATACAGACACTTAAGTCGAGCGTTTAATCTTTGCTTGTTACTCGATATTCTGGCTAAAAGGAAATTTCTTAATCTCCTCTCATTATCTCCTCGAAAGCGTTCTCTCTCTCTCTCTCTTTCTCTCTCTCTCTCATTTTCCTCTCGCATACAATCTATCTATCTATCTCTCTCTACTCTTTCACACATGCTCACGCGTACTTCCCTCTGTCCATCCATCTCCTCGGTCTCCGACCACGTGCCCAATTACTCGCGTGCGCCTAGCGCGATCGGTATTACGTTTACGCGTTCGCCTGATCACGTTTCAAATCCGACGTATTTCCAAACGCTGTTTCCTCTCGCATGGTTGTTATTCTCCTATGCTTCGCTTCTCCCTCTCCCGAACGCGGTCGAGTTCTCGACCGTTTTTTTTAGTATATCTATTTCATGTTTAAGAAAGACGATCCCGATTCCCATAGCGTCGAATCGTCGAACGACACGAACGAGTCGATTAATCGTCGACCACGACGGAAATCGTTTGTTTTGCAACCCCCTGAAGCACGAGATTTCGCGTCATCGGGGGTATGCATCGCAAGGGGGAAATCGGAAACGAAAAAGAAATCGGCAAGAGAATTTTATTTGCACGTTAATTAATTCTCCGAATAACGCGCTAAGAGAAACCAATGTGCTCCTTAATAAATTAAGAGATCAATTCGGGAAAATTTCGGCAAAGATCGCAGCTGGTGCATTATTCGAGGAATAATACAACAACGGAAACTATAATTTGTTTAAAAATTCAGAGATTAATCTAGACGAAAATGAGATCCCTGATAGTCCATTACTCGATGAATAATGCGCTATCAGGAACCATTGTTCCCTTCTTTACGGAATAAATGAAAAATATTCCGAGATTAATGGCGCCGGGAGCATTCGGAAACGAAAGATAAGGATCGTCCCGTGGGAAGATCCCACGATCCTTTCAAAGGGAGCCCAGCTGGTGCAACGAAAACACAGAACAGACGTAAAGCTCCTTAAAAGAAAAAAAAAAAAAAAGAAAACAAACGCAAAAGAGGGAGAGGGGGTTCGAGGAGATCGTGAACGAGAATCGAGAAATCAACGTCGGTTTTCGAGACGGGAAAAGAAGTATGTCGTATTATTTTTCTGAGGGGTGTGATTTGGATAATGCTTATATCTGGGAAGTTTCTCCTCTTCTTTAGGCTGTTGACAAAATAGAATGGAAAGCGGTCGTTTAGTCACATGAGGCATCATATTAGAGACAGACATAGTCGGGCAGGCTCGAGCAAACTAACGTGAAGACAAAGGTCTCTGACACATACGGTATAGTAAATGGGTAGGGGAGGATTCGTACACGAGCAATCCCTACAGAAAAGCACACCGATAGGAAAGTTGGAACAAGCTGCTTTCGCATGGAGAACGGGATGTACACAGACTACGGGTGACAACGACTCTAAACGCTGGTGAAAAGGTGGAACATAGAGATCGAGTTTCACGATGACGTTGATTCACGTGTATACTCACGGGGGAGGATGTATGCTTGGACACCCGGGTCTTGGGCATAGATCACTCGATCGCAGGAAAATCTCTTTTCTTCCGTTCACTGCTCGTCGAAATTTTATTTCCATTTCATAAGATGCTTACGTCTCATTTCAGGTAGGATGCTACATATTCTTGTGGAGATTAGGATTCAGATTCATCCTTGTATACGAGTCACTTCGAGCTATCGATCCGAATCGGATTACAATTTTCATGGTCGTGAAAAATATATTTTTGAAATAAACATTCATTATTAGGTATTTCAAGGATGTTAAAATAGCCAAATTGTTTGAAAATGCTTTACACGCGAACTTTTGCAAATTGCGGTTGTAATGAAGATTGCAATAAACGTTTATTGGCGAACGTGCGGTCGAAAATATTTGCTCATATAAAAACTCATCGATGAATATTTGGGTTGTTCAATATTCTGTAAATTGATAACAAAAATATCGTTCACGATGCGTTTATTCCACGCGAAAAAAATAATATATAATTCAGACACCGTAAACTCCAATCGCAGACAATCCAATTGTAAATAAATTATTTTTGGAACGAAACCTAGGTTCCGAACATGAAATCTACATGCTCGAAGTGAATCCGTAAGTCCATATTTTGACGATATCACGACAAAGGTTCCACGATTGAATATTCGTCGATTCCCGCCAGCAAACGGAGACGAAAAGAGACTTTTCCTCTTTGATATATTTCGTTGGTGGTCGTAACGGAACAACGCGCGAACATTATCTGTTTTTTCAAGCACTGCGTTCCGTGGTTAATTGTTGAGGTGTGTGTATAGAACAATTTCCAAGTAACGTGCACACGTGGATTCTTTCATATTTTTTTTTGTTCTTTTTCGAGGGTAGTCGATCGAGGACGTTGCACGTTCGCGAACGGTGAAGCACAATCGAAACAACCGTTTGGCAGGATTCCTCTTTCAGGTTCGTGTTCTCAAACTGGCTTTAGTCGTTCATCATTAGCCGAGGATTTACAGTTGTGTGTAATCTGAATCAATTGTGTTACGAACAGGGCACGAGTGTTTCTAGATAGTCACGCATCTAGGCACTGACCGTGTCCACGGTTAATCTGATTACGATCGATTAACACTTAGGCAGTCGATCGAGTTTCGTCCGATAGCAAATTATTCAGCGCACGAAATCTGTGATCCGTTTTAAAATTGGAAAATAGAGAAGGTAGCACGATGCAATTTCTGGATACGATATGTAAACGAGGCTCCAAGTAAAGCGAGAAATAAGTGGCGGGTGTTTCGAGGCAATTTTGCGATGGGAGATTCCCGAAATTAAACTGCGTTCTTTCCTCACGAGACTTTAAATATTATTGATATTTGATTATTGATTTGATTACTTTTGGCTACTTAAATTTGATCTGGTTAATGTGTTGAACGTCACGTCACTCATATATGAATGACAGAGCTTTGCATTCTAAGAGACAATTAATTTTAAGTGCTAAGTGTTAATGAAAACAAATCTGGATAGAATTCTCAAATTTTGAGGACAATATAAAAATAAGTAATACGACAAATGTTAGATTCTATGGTGTCCAATTGTCTCGAGACAAAATTTTAGCCCTGTAGACATTTCTACATGAGTCAGTCTAGAACCCGTTAATTCAGTTTGTATTATCACAAATAAGAACCAAGTTGCACATTATATACGTCACAAAGTTAATAATTGGATGCATACACATCTGTCAATTGAGTAATTCTTTCATATATCTTCAACGTTCAAGTGATACAACTGCCTAAGCGATCAGACACTTCCACAACCCAACAGTTGAGAAGTCCTCGCTGTTTAAACTTTCCACGACCAGATTCTTTGGAATAAACGAATGAGATCGAGGAATCCTGCCGCGAGTTAGAAGGATGTGCTTCGTGTTCCGCGCATTCGTCCTTCGCAAGCAAAGTTAACGACGACCAACGACCACTAACCTTTCGGTGGCTGCATCCCCAACTTTTTCATGCCCTCTCGGACCTCTTCGAGGTCCGTGTCCGAGATCCTCATGCTATCGGACACGAATTCGTGGCCTGGCGAATCGGCCAGCGCGCTGTTACTGCTGGTGGTCATGGTTCCGCTGGTTTCCTGGCCAGTGGTCACTTGAACTGTTCGCAAGACAACACTCACGGCTAAACTAGAAGGGTCGGGAGCTGCCTAACGCTAAGCTCTACGCGTAACTAGGGCTGGTTAGCTTCCTTTTTCTATTGCGGCTAACTGTTTGTGCGAAATACGTGTGGCAACTATGAGAAGCTCGCTGCACTTCTGTTTATAACGTGGCGATGACGTAACAAGACTGGATGGAAGAACACACGCAATAAAAGTGTGCATTCTTGAAGCATTTTCCAGATTTTTTACTGTGAAATATATTTTTCTTTACTTTACTATTGTATAATTTTAGTGTTACTAGTCTGCATGTGTGCAGCATGGAAAAGACTCTGTATAAATACAGGATATCTGAGATATACTTTACGCGAAGTGAACGTGTGCATACTTTAAGCATTTTCCAGATTTTTTACCGTGAAGTATATTTTTCTTTATTTTAATATTATATATCTTAGATATCAGGATATCCTGATATCTAAGATATACTTTACAGGAATTTGTCACGTTCAAAAATGTCAAGTGTAAAATCAGATTTGTATGTATTTGAAAGAAAGATCGGTAATGGACCACTTAAAATCGAGTACTTTTATCTCGCTTTATTCTACACATACAGCACCCGAACTTGTTAAATTAGTAATACAAAGAAGTGTATTAGTTCATTTTCCAGCAAAATACTATAACGCGAAGAACAGAGATGCACTCGAAACACTTGAGTGCATAATTACACAAACGTGGCTCTAATTAGAACAACGTGGAAACGTCAAAGTTATTTAAGCCTGGAGGCCAAAGGGGAGTCTCCACTCTTTAACCATCCCCCATAATTTCTATCCGATTCACCGTTGAGCTAATTTTCTCAGAAGACGTGTAAGCAGAATTTCAGTGCTCTCTGTTTGTATTCGTCGTACTTCAGAATGCGCCACCGGGAAACTTACTGTATAAACGTTCCGAGGAATATCTTGGCTACCTCGGTAACCGCTTTAAATTCTTGCCAGTCTTATTACCTCTTCACCGAGTCGGTTTATCAATAATCGTTAGGGTGAGTTCATATGGAAAAAAGTTGATTCACGGAACACCGGAAGACATCCGAGTTCCCAGAGAACTCTGCAGACGTGGACAGAAGTTTTTGCGCCACGATGTAATAGTTGGCTACTTAAACCGCGACATCCTCGAGTTTCTCCATCATTTTTCGCTCGAGGACGTATTTACACTTTATCTCAGTTACGAAACGAACATGAGCGTCGCGGCTCGCCATCAACAAATTGCGAGCTGACGTCTTTAATCGTGCACGATGAAATACGACGTGAAAGTGGCCATTTGTAATGCTTTTTAGGAAATAGAAACTAAATTTTTCTATTCCTCAAGGGGATGTTGAAGAATATTAATGTAGGATGAACAGTGGGTTTCAGTACGGTGTTTTATTTTGGATTGAGTTCACATTCATGATATATTTAACACATTAATCCCAAATATGGTCGACAGTGCTTCTCACTCGAGAACTATAAAAATTGATTCTAAGAGTTGAGTGTCAAAGAAAATGAATTTGGATGAAATACTTAAATTTCGCTGAAGCTACAAAAATAAAAAATAAAATGTAATCACAGTAGAAATTTTCAAGAGTATCAGTCTGGCAGTCAACGTGTTAACGTTTCCTGGAGAAAGAATTTCAATGAACAAGCATACAGAAAGAAGAAAAAATATTTCTCCAATGTACATCGTCTCCTGATACCTTGCAATGCACGAACACACCAAAAATGGCCACCTTGTATCGTCCTTTCGTTTTCCGCGTATCAAAGAAATAATTGAGGGAGTTATCGAACCGTCAACGCGTCCTCGTGGATCCATCGAGCTTCGAATAAGTTCCTGGAATCCCAGCGAGATTTCGTGGATCGAATTCTCATTTAGCGAAAGAGGAGATCCCGGTTCAATGCACGGAGACAGTCGTCGCGGATCGGAGGAAGGGTGAAAAGCCTCCTGGAGGGATGCTCGCGAAATGATTTTCAGAATTCACGGGAATCGGACAAGTATTCCAGCGACTCGGACTCGTATTTCGTTTTATCACGTCGGCTCATCTCTTCTCAGAGAAATTCCATTGTTTGTTCGTCGATCTCCTCCCATCGGAGGACTTCATCCTCCTCCGATTCCGCACCTCTTTATCATTACTTTTTTTGGACTCTAGAACGCGACCAAATAGCGAGCTAGCAACGTACTGGCGTGCTGATTTCCAGTCGAACGTATATCAATATTTTATCGGGAATTATCGTTTCACCTCGAATTAACGTTGCATTTATAATTTTGACATGCACGGCGAGTAATAACGACGCGATTTCAATCAGCCGCGCGGCTCGATAATTCTGACCACGACAACCCCCTCCCGATACGATATCGCTTATAACTTTTAGAGAAATCTATTGCATCGTGTCGTTCGGGGACGAAATTCCGTCCTGTGCCTGGCTGCGTTCATCAAATTATGTTTCACGGTGTATTAGTGGCCCGTGCGATACGAGCAAATGGCCCGGAATAAAATTTAATTGCTAATTGAGGGGGTGTTCTAGTGTGAATTACCAAAAAATCATTTTCTCGTTTAAAATTCGGAATGTATTATTCTAGTGTGAATTTTCAAGCAATCATTTTCTTGTCTAAGATTTGTAACTTGTGTTCAATTATCAATATTTCTTAATTATTCTGGCTTCATGGGCGAGATTGATATCAATACAGATGTTTCTTGATGCGCATACATTTTTTAAAGGGGTCTGTACAAGATCACCTGTACGACGTTTTATTCCGAGTATTTTCATTAAAAATAAATTATGTACATTCTTAATATACGAATAAATACGTGTGCAAATCCCCACAGAAGAATTCCTCATGAATTAAAAACAAAAGAAATCACTCTAGAACACCCTTTTAGAACATCTACGACCAATACGATTACCTTTCCAAAAATAAAACGCAGCAAGCACACTTTCTAATTTCAGACTCGACGTATCCACAGAAAGAACGAATAGGTTCTCAGGATCTCTAAAAACCATTCCCCGACGAAAATAGTTTGGTAAACGGTTGCTAAGTCCACCGATACAGCGAGAAACGACCAATTCTCGCGCTTCGATCCGCCAGTACGTTGCTCGCGGCCCGTTAACGGACGGATAAATCTACGTGGCGCATAAACTGCTCAAATGTGCCATGCAAGAAGATCTCATCACAGAAAAGGTCGTTGGAACGAGTCGTAGATCAGGCGTAAACGGATCACGACGCCCGTAAACGCTCCTTCGCCTGGCGATTACATTTTTTTCCCGATTGGAGCTTTTCGTTTACAGGCGTAGCGCCCCGAGATTAAGGAGGGTTGAAAATTCTCCTCGATGAGGGAACAAGGAGATTCCAACTCAAGCAGCTCGAAACTGCAATGCAAACTAGAAGGCAGCGAATACCAGAGAACAAACGAAAAGGGCGTGTGTACGTAGCACGGCCTCTCTGATCGACCCTTTCGACGTCGACCTCGATGGTCGACCATCGACTCGCCTAATGGCCTCTCGTTTCTTTCTTTTCGCGCGTTTCCCATGAATACGGGATACAGGAATGCTTCTCTCGCGCGACTGTTATATCGTAAACAGAATTCTCAAATGAATTGAAATTCTCGACTGGTAGCGCCGGCCTCGCAGGGATCTATCTCATTGTTTTTTCAAAGGAGAATGCGAATTTCGTCTCTCTGGTTCCATTCTTGAGTCCCTTCGGGCCTACTGTGCGTTGCAATGGGGATTATTTTTTGACATGGAGAAGTATTAGCAAGGAGGGATTATTTATTAGTTCGTTTCTTGGTATATTGTTACCCAAGTCTAGGTGTTCTGAGAAATTCAGAACTGAGGAAGCTAAGGTGGAGTGAAACAAAACTTCTGAGTTGGAAATGACGAATTGTGTCTGGTTTCTTTATAATTGAGTTGACTTAGTAGAATTTGAGAGTGATCTGATCTCACCCCGAACACTGTCGCGTGAGTTAGGTGAGTCTTCTTTTCATTTTTTCTTACATTGGCATTACAAACAGCAAAGTCACTTATTATTTTTCAATTTAAACCAAGATTTCCCATGGTTACAAGAGATTGAAGTTTGAAATTGTGATTCCCAGTATAAGCTGTGCAAATCCCAGCCACCTCGCTCTACCAGTCGAGCATAACAGTTTTGTCGGTTTTGTCAGATTCGCGGAAGTTTTATAAGGTAGTCTCAACAAAACCGATTCTAGTGTTTTATTCGTTTTACCTGGAATAACGTTTCCCTCCGTAACACAAGAAAGTATTCACGATTCCCTGAGACATGTTTTTCTATTCGTATGTGTCTGTCTGTGCTGATTCGAATCAAAACAGTGTCGTTGAACTTACCTTCCTCTCATCCATGGAGTGGTATCGATAAAAATATGTAGCTAGCTTAACCCCTTCAGCAATACTGCTACATACATTCAGCTTTAGCTCTTAAATTTAGTATCAGCACCAAAATTGCAACACGTTATGCAGAATAATTCGTTCTAGAAGGGGTTCACTCTCAAAGACATAATTCTTATTTACTCAATTCTTCGCTGAAGAGGTTAAACAAAAACAATTGTCGGAATGCTAGCATCTACAAAATGGTTGTACCTCTAGGGCACTTTCTCGCAATATGGAAGCTACGCGGACGAGATAAGCGAGCCTGGCTGCGATTGATGTCGAAAGGGTCGAGAGCAGGACGGTCGACTGTGCATGACAAATGCACCGTGCGAATAATAATACCGGCTAAGCGTGGAAAGTGGTGGTCGGCTGACACGAATATTACCTTCAGGTTGATCCACGATTTCGGTGGAGGTCAGGTTCTGGTCGTTTTCCGCCTGGTGGGCCATCGCGTTCAGCTCGTGGCTCTGACGGAGAACCGACACCCGGTAGAAGTAGTTCCTCCAGAAATTCTCTTCGGATATGCTGCACGACAGGTAAATTAATCTCGGTGTGAACTTCAGGCCGATACAGGACCCCCTCGGGTTCCGATTCGCCGTAATCAGACACCGGTTTGGAAATTGCCAATTAACGCTGGTCGCGGCACGGCTCGATTTAATTTAGACCGGTAATTAATTGATTCGCATTCACGCGTATGAATATTGTCCTAGCGAGAACTGGATCGTTCGAATACAGAAATGGACGTATTTTTATTTTGATAAGAAATTTTTAGAGTTGAATGAGAGATACGTGGTTTTTCAATTCATTGGATTTGTAGAATTGGACGTGCAGTTTAATATAGAGTCGTAAGTATTCGTATAGGTTTGATATTTTCAAATCAATTTTGTATTATAAACATATACACGTGAAGAATTTATGCATGTATGTATTTATCATGAAACAGATGTTTGGAAACATCAAACCTAGCATTTAGCTTAGAGATATTTGTTGAATAACCAATGTACATGGGTAAAATTTATTTATGTACATATTTATAATGAAACATTTATTTGGGAACATCTAGCCTATCGTTTAATTTAGATCAATTTCTTTGGTAGATGTAGAGGGTACGAATACTTTTGGGGATGTATGTTCCTTTTGGTAATAGAAAAATATATATTTGAAAATTAGATCTCCAAAAACAATTTCTAAAGGCTACCTTATTTTTTAATCCTTTTATTAATTTTAAACTATAACATCTCTTATGAATTTTATATATATATATATTGGAGCCAGTAAGTTTGAGATCAGTACTTTAAATTAAAATTTTTAATTTCAGAGTAAGAACTGGATAGTACTAAAATTCATTGCTGTGAACTTTAATTTATGAAAAATTTCATATGGAATTCAATATTAAAAAAAGAAACAAATAAAATTGCACAAGTGCAGCGATAAATCTGTACAATTGTACAGGTAATGAAAAGGGACTCCTCTGACGAGTGAGTAGTAGAATATACAGAACAGCCAGGGAGGATGACCACTCCGAGTAACTTTAATATCTCTCTGTAAATATCAAATATTTTGAAAACTAAAACACGTTCTATATGGCCAGCCAGTAGGAATATTATCATTAGAAATATCCAGCGTTGTACTCCTTAATTGGATTGAACAACGTGAACGCACTTTCGAAAGTTTCTAATCCACGGGTCAATAAACGAAGTTTAATATTATCTCACGTGCTTCAGTTTGTGGGGATCGGCTGTTAAAATATGCACAGCGTTAAGCAGCAGAACTACGCATCTATCAACGATCGTTGACCCCAAACTTACGTACCCTCGGGTATATCCACCGATATATCTACCATTCAACCCTCTGTAACCTCGTGTGACTTTGAAATTACGCACACACTTCAAGGCCGCAATACTTTCTGGAGCACTCCAAAGTCATTTTGCTTCAGAAACTAGAGATTATCGAGTTGTGCAGAGTTGCAAAGTAAATCCGTCATTAAAATGAGAAACATTTAGGGAACACTTACACTTTGGGGACCAGCTGGAACCTCATATTCTCCAAATTGGGATCCAAAGCGAGAATAGCCTGCGCCATCGGTTGGACAGCTTCGAAGTTCCATCCAAAATTGACTCCCTCGGGCGGGGGCCTTAAGAAGTTACGTTGATTCTGAAATCAATGTCCGCAGGAATTATGCAGCCAACTTTGTTAACTTTCCCGCGCCGGGAGTTTCGAACACGACCACGCGACGCAACCGTTCGCGTTCGGACGAGGTGCAGTGACCGGCTGGTCAGCAAACTCTGCCCTCGAGCTGAACTATCCGCGGCAAAAATCTCGGAGACGATGACCCGTCGAACCTAATTATGGAACGTATTCTGCTGGCATATATTCTCGATTAACGGGGCGAATGGCCTTGGTCACTTGGGGAGTTCGATTCTATTATAACTTCGACGATAGCCGCTAATTACTATGCCAAGCTGTCGAACGAGGTTTGGTGTGTTCAGTGGTGCGAAACGAAGAACGGTTAAAACGTGTTTATTTGGGTAGAATTAGATATTAATTTTTGGATTTGGTACGATAGGGTGGATGTGGGTTAAGTTCGGGTAGGTTTCGGGTGAGTTTGAACAGGGTAGACTCAGATCTAGATTTGGTTGGATTATGTGTAGGCTTTGTTTCAGTTAGGTTGGGATACGTACACATATTAAAATGTGTTTATCTGGTCAGAATTAGATATTAATTTGTGGACTTGGTACAATAGGGTGGATGTGGGTTAGGTTCGGGTAGGTTTGGGGTGAGTTTGAACAGGGTAGACTCAGATCTAGATTTGGTTGGATTATGTGTAGGCTTTGTTTCAGTTAGGTTGGGATATATACACATATTAAAATGTGTTTATCTGGGTAGAATTAGATATTAATGATAGGTCTTGGTAGGATAAGTGTGGATGTGAATTAGGGGTCAAGTTCGGTCAGATTAGACTCAGATCTAGATTTGGTAAGATCACGTGTAGGCTTCGTTTGGGTTAGGTTGGGTTATGTATACCTCATATTTTCGTTAGTTTGGTATACATACAGCTTGTATCCAGATTATGTCAGGATACAGTCAGTCTCATAAATATTCGTGCCCTCTATTAAAGAAGTTTGTCTAAATTAAATAATAGATTCGATGTTTCCAAATAAATGTTTCATTATAAATATGTACAAGTATGAAGTAGTTTATCCATGTACATATTTATAATGAAACATTTATTTGAAAACATCAAACCTATCATTTAATTTAAACAAATTCCTTCAGTAAACACAAAGGGTACGAATATTTATGTTGGATTACTCATCATTTCATCCTACCCCTAACACATCAGTGTGACTATCTCATCAAAAGTCCACAATTTCTACCCGGAAGTCTCGGTCACCCGTGAAAGCCTCAAATCTTTAATTAGAAAAAAAAAGTGCGTGCTCTTCAACCCCAAAAAAGAAACTACCAGTCTCGAGGGAGGTCGGAGGAAAGACGGTTAAATCTCCGGACGGCTCATCGTCCTCTGCACGTTAATGACGAGAGTAAGCGTCGCGTAAATTGTATCGCGACTAGGTCCCTTTGGCGCCAGGTCGAGCACCTTACGTTCCCGTACTCGCTACCCTACTCGCCCCATTGTGCCACGGAATCCAATTGCACCCTCTCCATCCACCTTTTTCCAAGGATTCGCACGTGCAGCGCGCGCAGAGTCGCGTTGCACCGAGCACGCACACAAAGGTGGAAAGGAATTACTCACCGTCGAAAGAGATAAGCATTCCTCTCGTAATACATCCTCGTTCGGAGCGCCGACCCACGGTGCAACGGCCTCTCCCTTTTCAGTGTGTCTGTTAGCAATGAACGCTTCCTGTTCTTTGTTCAGTTCGGCGACCAATCTCTGAAATACCATTAATTCCGTATTAGACGGAGAACGAAACTCGAACGATAAAGAGAAAGGGGTAGAGAGGCAAGAGATGTAGGACAGAGAGGGATGGAGCGTGTTGAGGACAAGTGTCACTAGGATAGGAGACAGAGAGCAATTATCGGTGTCATCGGTGTGCTACGCGAGCACGGAAATAGCTAGGAATCTGCTAAAAGCTAGCCCGACGCATCGGAGTACGTTCACCCCTCGTTAATTAGATCGTTATGGTATTTTTGTCGATACCGTCGCTCCTACGTCGTTGGCTAAAATCGTATCGATCCTCGAACGCTGCTTCGAGCTCGTGCTCGATTTGCATCGATGAGCAGCGCGGCTTTGTCTCTCGAAAATTGAATAATTTGCGCGCAATTTTTGGAATTAACCCTTCCAGCCGGTAGGTATTTGCATCCTGATTGTATTAGGTTGACGAGGGAAGCGTAGAACTCGTACAGGTTCGATTTACGTAAAATTTTACGCCGGTGCTCGGTGCACTAAGCTTAGAGTCTATATATCGTTACTGACCTGGAGGGTTAACCACCCCTTTTCAATTATAGAAGAGATTTAAATTCATTTTAAATAAAATTCATAATATCTCTTGGTGCCAATGCTTGTTGGACTAAGTTTAGAACTATGTCATATATCTTTGCCCCGAGGGTTAACCATCCCTATTCAATTATAGAAGACATTGAAATGCATTTTAAATAAAATTCATAATATCTCGTGGTGCCAATGCTCATTGGACTAAGTTTAGAACTATGTCATATATCCTTGCCTCGAGGGTTAATCACTCTCCCTTAAATTACAGAAAGTATTGAAACACATTTCAAGTAAAATTCATAATAACTCTATTTATATCTGTATGTTATATAATCTCGAGTAATATGTAATTTTCAAACCACGAAGCTGTTCACCAGAAAACGTTTATGAAAAAATAGATTGACTTCCCTCGACATGCTCACGGATTTCCGTCTTTTGAATATGAAAGAACGTTTATAGAAATAAACAAAATTTGTCCCCTTTCGTTATGTGGAACGTCTGCTTTCGCCACTGATTACTCCGGTGGTATTTAACCCCTTGGCAATTGGGGCTGTGAAGTGGAAACTTTGCTGTGCGGAAAGAGGGAAATAACTTGTCTGAGAAATTCAGTTCCGCGGGGTAAGACCTTAAAGCGCTCGGATACACGTCGGTACCCCTCATTTAAACGCAATTTGTGCGACATGATGCGAATTTGTTAACCCAGTTACGAGCAACGTCTTTCCAGGAGAATATGGAGTTTGGTTGGAATTAAACGTTATACCGGACTCTCATAAAATAAATGAATACTCAACGTTATCTTCGGAAAAATATCTTGTGTCAGTAGAATTTATTTTTAGGCTAGCAAATTTTTTAAAACGTTCCAGAGTATTAATTTATAGATGCTAAATGTATCAACGGTGTCAAAACGTGACAGATCGATAACCCCAAGCTTTGGTATTCTGCATTTTTTAAACAAATTGTCCTGTAGCGAAATGATGACTTAAACCCCTCCTAGTTTAACCCAGAGTATATCATATTTAAATTCTATCAAAATCCTTGACATATTAAGCACACAAAATGATCGATTTGATGCAGTATATCCCACGTATGTCTTACAGCGAAAGTGTTAATAATCTGTCAGTGATTCCTTGGTTTTCAACAGTTTAACATCCTTCAGAGAATTAAAGTTTCCTTTGACTGCAAGTGCCGCAAGACCCGCGGAGAATGTTCTTATATTTATAAAGTGTTTGGGTGGTCTTTCAAAGGGCTCGGTTCCCGGGGGATTATGGCGACTCTTTAAGCGTTTGGACAACACAGCCAGCGGGGAAAATGTGAGTTTTCTCACGTACCCTCCTGGATTCTGGAAAGGTTTCGTGTCCGGGGCTGAGCGCGCACGAAGCAACAACTAAGACATACGCAAACATTCGTAATCGTCGATTTTTTAACTTTATGTCCATAATATGTCTCTCAGGATTTTCTGCAATCTTGGTACTTTCATTCAGTTCCCTCGTCACGAAGCCAACGTGAATTTGAAAATTGAAATATATTTGACATAATTATAGCCTTGGGAAGCTGTATTATAAAACATTCACAACTGAATCACTACAAATACATCTTTACAAGCAATAATTTCAACTCGATTAATTTCAAAAATTAAGTTTGCTTCATTATCCTTAAAGTACCACTGCGGAAACATACGAATAGGCAGTAATTTATATGTTTCCAAGTAGAAACAATTAAATTTCACTTCGCGTGGCTGTTGATCCTCGTGTTTTGTTATAGTTGGTGGCTGAAATACTGGAATTAGACCAAGCAACGGCAATAACCCGAGGATAAACGCAAAACGTGGACGACGCTTGGTACAACGAGACAAATGGTAAGGATTGGGCTAAGAACGAAGAAAAATGGACAACCTGGGATCACGGGGGGATACGAAGCATCTAAAAGGATTAAAGACGGGGAGTCCTGCGGCGTTGGGAGCTCGAGCTCGGATGGGCGAGCTCCTTATTATCGTTTCTGTATTTGGGTCAACGAAGTTTCGGAGTATTCGCAGCGATTGCGCGAGATCTAATATAGATCATCCTATGCTTATTTCGTAAGAAGTGATCCGACTGTCTGTAGAAATTGAATTCTGTTCAGGAGATACTACAAGGACCAGAGCAACGGGGCGCTTATATCACTCGTCCAACAAAATTGATATTCATTCGTTCGAGTATCTGTATTGCCATTTCAAGGTGACAACTTGCTCCAAAACTGCTCTGAAGATTATTTTATTACATAATTTCAAGAATGTATGACCACAGAAATTCTGTTCGAAGATACTAGAGCATTTAGAGAAATGAGTTAGTAATTCGTGATGATATTCACCAAAGATCTGTCATTCGAGCATCTGTATTGCAATTTCAAGGTGATAAATTGTTGCAAAAATGCTCTTAAGATTATTTTACTAAATAATATCAAGGATATATGTACATCAGAGCAATAGATTCACTTAAGAATCGCTTAATTTAAGAAGAATTTTAACGATATAACGATATAGAATAAATAAATTATTATTATCATTGGTAAGACTAATTTGCCTTAATAAAAATGTTCTACCTATTCGTACGCTCGTCGATTGTTTCTCGCTCATGTTTAAATGCATTTCTTCCACTCGTGTGCGATATACTTATTTCAGAACGGTTGTATCGAATTTTAAGAAGACGTAACGAACACAATAACCATTATCCTTTTCGCAAGAAGCAACGGGCTTTCAGCATGTCATTCTTCCGTTCTTTATGCAGCCATTTGTTCAAGGGATTCTGATTGCCATGCACAATGTATCTCTCATCTCGTTTCGTCGTTAGTTCCTGCGTAGTAACGAAGCGATTATTTCCATTCCCCTCGAGCCCTCGTCGGTCAAGTGAAAGCCCACTTATCCGTCTTCTTTGCTTTGCTAAGTGACCAACGATCGTTGAATGACCGACGATTCAACGCGAATTATTAGCAACGATTTCTACGGATCGCTATAAAGTAAAGCAATTTTTCAAAATTGGACGAGACACATACGTTCCTGAACAATGTCGTGCAAAAGCTTTCAGCTGGTTCCCCAGCTTTGCTTTGGAGATGGACACCAAATGAATTTTGAATTACATAGAATTAAAGTGTAACGAGGCAGAGTACAATGGCTAACAAGGTAGAAGTATGTAACAGAAGCATTTATTTTATTTTCAGGGAATTCTCTCTCTGTAAAATGACTGGAAACGTAATTGTCTGGAAACTTTTGCACGCCATTGTAAATGCGTGCGACAGAGAAATCGTAAAAACGTCCTATTGTTAGGAGGAATATTTACACACTAAAGTGCAGGAAATTGTTAGCTGCAGACGAAACAATATTGCGTTGAAAGGTGTTTTTAAAATAGTCAACTTCTGCTTAAATTGAAACTGATATTTCATTCATTATTTTTCCTCCTATGGTGGCCAGCTCTGAATTTATTAAAAAATAATTCGCGATACTTTCCACAAGGGAGAGGTAAATAATACATTCATAAGTCTTAAAAATTCAATACTTTGCTAATAAAATAAAATCGTCTCGAAAAGGTATAGCTACTAATAACCACTCCAAGTTACAAATTGATCGTTACGATACTTTCCACGAACGATTCAGGGAATGATAAATAATAAATCTGAATTATTCTTATGTAAAATTACTTTTACGATAATATAAAATCGTGCCCAGAATGTATGCCCACTAATAACCACTGAAACCACCACAAATTGATTGTTATCATCGAAATGTAAATAAGTAATATTGTTTGGCGTGCAGTGTAGTGCCACAAAATTGAATCTTCGCGAGCTAGGTGTATCGTATGCACCCAGCTAATATTAGATGCAGAGCGTAGCAGGAGGGCTCAAGTTCGGCTAGGTGAGCACCCTTATTATCGCTCTAGTATTTGGGTCAACGAAGTTCTCCACTTCGCGCAGACAGTGCATCACTGTCGGGATGACAACAATTCCCCCGTGAACCGCGAAACTTCCATTCGAAATCGATATTTTTGTTTCAAACGTCGCAACCTGGTGAACTTCGCCTGTTAAGCGTCAAACCGATCTCGACGTCGAACAAACGGCTTTCGCTGTCGGTAGAAATTGCTTTCAGAGATCGAGTTTTGTTATTCCGCCACTTTTTTTTCGACTCTCAATACGCAATACTTTGGACCATTGTGCTCTGCGCGTAATTCAATAGCCGTTAAAACAATTTCCAGGGCGGTGTAATGAAATCGTTCCAATTTCTCGCGAATTCATCAAACAGGGGGGGCAAGAACCGCGAAACAAATAGTAGAGTGGCCAGGGAAAATATTGTTAATTTCGAAACCTCAAATTGTTGACCGATAAATACAATGAAACATAATTTCAAGCGCGACGTTCGTGGTCCCTTGGTTCTGAAAGGAATTGCATTATTTCGTAAATGAGCCTTTGATGGGCTT